TGTCTCCCAACGAAAACTCACATTCACGTATAACCTACTTTTCCACATAAACTAATTCACTAAAAAAATACTCAAAGAATCACGAACTCTAGATTCTGTTCGACTGATCAACATCACATTTTGTTAGTAATCATCATAACATTCAAGATTATTAGCTTGTCATGTCATGTTGTGATGTTGACAAATCAAAATATTATATTCGGTCCAGATTGATTATCAGCTTCAAGCCTTCAATGAACGAAAATAGTCAAATTCTTATCTTAGAAATCAAAGAGATCAAATTTGTACTCAAAAGTCAAAACTAATGCTCTCTATGTAGCGCCCTTTCCTTACAAGCAAGGCTTTAATAAAAACAACAGCCAAAGTCTTAACACTGTTTTCTCTGGCCAACCTCCGATCAGTTTATCGCCTGTACCGATGTCGTTTAAAGTTGAAGTACAAATGCAGAATCCCACGCTCGAACGTGCATTTGAAACCTTTCTTATGTGAATACTCCCACTCTTTATTCACAATCCGGAACGCCTGAAAAACAACAACAATCAAATTGATCACAAAGATGGCAACGATAAAGAAAGAAACATCCGGAGCAAAACTACTTACAATGTCTTCATAAGGCGGACCAGCATGGAACCGGATCATACAGGTTTCAGATTCTGTCCCATCTTTCTCGATAGTGTAAATGGGAGCCTTGATCTTGTCTACTAAATCCGGATAGAAGATGTTAAACTTGTACCCTTGAACGATTTTTGGAGGCGGGTTATCGTGGTCGTAGTGCGTCTGGTTATACTTATTCCACTCGTAACCTGTGTGGACTCGGTTGAAATACTTGGGTTTTCTTGGCCGGTACTTGTCATGCCACCAGTATACCTACAGAAGAAGATAATAACTGTTATTTCCACTGGGAAGAATAGACTATGTTACGGGATTGACAAGAGATTAACAGCAGTAGAGGTACCTCGGAATCAAGGTTCACTTCAGCATTTGAGCCAAACACAGCATCGCCTTCCTCCATTGCTCCCATTACTTTCATTGCTTTGAATTCCAAATTATCTTCTGCAGGTGCTGGTTTTGCGACCATAGCTTCTTTAAGCCGCTTCTTCTGTTTCTCCACCACAATCATCCGTTTCATTTCCTGTTATAGCCACAGTCATAGTTTAGGTCAGTAAATGCATCAACAACGATTAACTCATGGGCTAAAGTCGATAGTAGGAGCAGTTTAAGCGTACCAGTAGCTTCTTGTCTTCCTCGGGATCAATTGCTTCTTCACGATCATCACCGTGCATGAGCTCTGGTGAAAACGAACCAGCCGCTTCTGCTGCCGCGTCAGCTTCTTCTTCCTCCGCAATAGGCTCTGGAGAGAATGTTTCTTCAGCATCGGAAGGATTCCTAGTGTTTATCTCCTCCTCGTTTTCTTCCACTATAGGTGTTAGGGCATCATTAACTTCTGCATCTTCTTCACTCTCTGAAAGTTGCTCGAGGCGATGTAGATGTTTCCTCAGCATCTCAGCGTGTATTTCCTTCAAGCAAGCCTGTTGAAGATCAAGATAGTCAGTGAGTATGCGAAAAACAAAATCCTCTGTTTTCAAAATCTTACACCTCAAGGTCATCGACAAGCAAATACCTTTGCCTTGTATATATCAAGGCGCTTGAGAACTGCTTCCCAATACTCCACTACTTTAGCCGACCCAGAACGCAGCTGCGACTCGATATCCAGCTGCAGTTCTACAAGCTCTGAGTGGGTCTTCCCATCAAGAAGTTTTCTCACGTCAGCTTCAACACCAGCGTGTAGTCCCCTCTCTTGAGCAAGCAATTCTGCAGGAGGCTCTTCTCCTCTGACTCTAGCTCGATCTAGAGCATCCCTTTTACGAGCTTCAGCTAACTCCCAATCACACACCACAATAAGCGCCTGGAAAATTCAATGGTGTTAAGCACACAGATTCACTCGCATATATGTATATATGTAATAGCACGAAAGAAAGAATGCTAATCAGCCATCAAAAAGGAACAACATGATGATCCATAGAAGATATTTTTTTTCTGATTTTATCAAAATTCCATACATGCATAATGACTTCAATTGCATTAATCACCTCGAGGGCAAGAAAATGAGATTAGGTGAAGAAAATACCTCCCAATACTGTATGCGCATTGGAGTTGCCCGATCCGAATCCAGATACATTTTGATATCATCTCGAAGCTCTTCCATATCTTTAACAGTGAGTCCCTGCATCATAATTGCCAGGAGAGAATACGTCAAGTTTTATAATAAGCGTCACATAAGAAACCAGTGTAATCTTCTCTGTTCACCAAAAGAGACCAACTACACAATCAGAGACTTTGTTTCACAAATCATCCAGAATCATTCTCACATTCTGCTTTTTGTTATTTAACTTCGTACACTAGACAACTAAGAGTCCACTAGACATCAGAGAGCTCAGAATTCAGCCAGAATCTTGTACATAGGTTTTGGCTAATGACTTAGACTAGCAGAATAACTAATCTAATCACAGCCTTTTCCCCCCTCTCTACTACTGTCACAACCCAAATGAATCCAAAGACTGAACATGTTATGGAACTGAACTAGGACCGAGAAAGTATAGACCGAAGTGAAAAAGCTCTATCATAGCTTAGCTTAAACACAGTATGGTTTTACGATCGAGCATAATATTTGTAAATACCTTGAAGACCATGTAGGGTTCACTGAGCTCGATATCCATATCATCTGAACCATCCAAGTGCTTGCAAAGGACGTCAATTGGCTTCAGCCGACCTTCACGTAACCTAATCTCTGACCTCACCTTGCTTTGGTCGAAATGGAACTGTAGATCAAATAGATATATCAAGCAACGTACGCCACACTACCACAAGAGAGGAATTAATTGCAAAAAAAAAGGAATCGCAAGTATACCTCCTCCTCTTTCTTCTCCCAATCTTGAAACTCAGCTCGAGCACGTTCTCTAGCCAATAGTGCCTGCAGAGAATGAAAGCAATTGAAAGTCAATAGCTATACTGTACAGTCTTAACCAAAGTAGAAAGATAATTGGCTAACAAAAAATTCAATTTTATCCGTCCTTCCTGGACCAAACAATTTTGTAAGAGATAACTTTCCATATATTTTCAACACGAAACAAAATTTACCATTTCTTCCTCATGTCGAGCTTTCTCAACTGCTCTCTCTTCTCTACTCTTCTTAACCTTTTCAACCTCTGTCTGCGAATTGAAATGAAGTGTTTAAGACATCAACCAGAAAGCTCATTTCACCAAACAAAATAACACATAGTTATAAGCATCGAGGACATAATCGTTTCTTCTGTTTTTTTTTTTTTTTTCTAATTCAAAATGCTTATCGTACATACCATCCTTTCTTTCTGTCTTCTCTTCTCAGCTTTAGCGGAAAATTCCTCCAATGGTACTCCATGGTGAACATCTTTTTCAATTTTCTTGCGCCACACAAATCTGAATATGATAGAATTTTAGGCCATTAGAATTGAAGAGTTTTCAAAACCAGGTGCCAATATTACACGCAATCAAGAGAACTCTAACTGCCAATATTCACAAGTGTACACAGTAGAGCAAAAGGAAGTAGCGCCTATATTTTATGTACATGGTTACTACTAAGATTGAAGTTGAACTGTATAATCTATAATAATTCTCGAAATCATACCACTAAGTCGGAAACAAAAATCATCTACTATTTTCTTAAAATTTCACTTACGTCTCAGTGAGGTTCGAATCCCCAAATGGGTTTGAATCATTGGAGTACCCTGACACTGACTGAGTCTTCAGTTTCTTTGCTGCGCGTAATGCCTACAAAGAATTTAACAAGTAGGATAAAGTTAGCAACCAGCTCCAACACATGTTAGGTTATATACACTGGTACGAGTTACCTTTAGAACAAAGCAATTACCTTCTTCTGAGCCTTTTTGGCCATATAATCCTTGATTTCTTCCTCCGAGGGCTTCCTCGACGAAGATCTCTTCTTACGCTTCCGTCCACCATCGCTGTCACTGGAGTCATCATCACTTGAGCGATGGCGTCGGGTCCGACGGCTGCTGCTGCTGCTGCTGCCTTTCCTCTTCCTAGAGGTCCTGGGCGGTGACAGATCATCTGAGCTGTCCGAGTCAGAAGTGTAAGACTCGGACTCAGACTCAGACCCAGACTCGGATTCATCTCTCCGCTTCTTCTGCCTCCTATGCCTATCTCTCTTACTCTTACCATGAGAACCCATACTCGAAAAGTATCTCGCCGCCGAAGATAATAATTATCAGTCGCTCATCCCTAAACAAATATTCAAAGAGAACTTAGCTGAGAAATTACAGGCTAAACATCACTTGATAAACGTAACTGATGCATAGAGAATTAGCCGAAATCAGCGAAAGCAGAAACACTCGTCCGATACTCAATTTCCCAGAAAAACAATCTAGACCCACAATTTGGTTAAGCAAATCAAGGCCGAAAAGGAAAAGCTCCTTATTCAAGTTTCGCGAGCAGTAATTAACAGTGGAAAGAGAAGAGAATTGCATACCAAGTTGGAGACGAAGAAGTGAAATCAGTGGTGGTGAGCGTGGTGAATGCGACGGTTGAAGCTACTCCTCCGCGATAGATCGAAGAAATAGATATGCAGACAAGGGTTCAGATTATTGAGTAATCTCAGGGATATTTTCGTCATTCTAACGTCGGTTCTTGGTTTTTTTATTTGCATAATTATTCCCTCAAAGGCTCAAACGGTGTCGTGTACCATTTGCCCGGTTAAGGTGGTGTGCTATTGTATCGTCGGATAGTTTAGTCATGGTGGATTAAATCACATAAGCATAGTTAGTTAGTATAAAAACCAGTTATTTAACATTACAATACGTATGTTTTTGTTGTATATTGTTTGATGAGCACAAGAGAATAGAAGCTAAACAAACACAAAAATGTGAACCGTTCTCAAGTGTCTTTATTCTTCTTACCGTGGAATGATCATATATAGGATCAATGATCTCACTGGTAGTTACCAATCATCGGTAATAAGCCATGTGTTTTGATGATCTAAAAGGAGAGTTATCGAATGGAGATGGTTTCCATGCTGCCACAGGCTTTCTCTTTTTCTTCTTGAGCTTGGTTTCGGAACGGAGCCAAGATTCTACGACGGAGAGGAGGTTTGGTGAAGTTTTGAGCTCGTCGATATCTGCCATTTTCGATGAACGATTCAGCTCACCGTCTTGAATGTAGGCCAAATGTGTGCCCCATGCCTCTAGGCCATCGAATATGTGAGTTGCATATACAATTGTAGCTCCTCTCTGAGTCAAGCCAAAGTTTATACAATAATTAAACCACTGATGCACAATAACAAACCCAAGACAAGTCTCGATAAAACTGCATTTGCTCGTCTGAATGCTCTACTATAAAACCTTGTTCAGTCTTTTGGTTAAGCAATAAGTATATATACAATTAGGAACATAAGAGATAGTAACGAGGTTAACAGAATAAACACCTGATCACACTCTTCTTTGAAGAATTCCAGCAAATCCATCCTTGCAACTACGTCTAGGTCAACTGTGACCTCGTCGAGTAATAACACCTGTAAAATCAGATTAGCATTTAGAGGTCAGAATTGATGACAACAAAATTAGAAACTAAGAAGTCTTTTGAATGAATCCAGATCAGAACATAACTGACGATGATGAAGCGAGATTTAGTGTTTACAGAATAACGAGCTTCTTTGAAACCATAATCATCTTACCTTGAATGGATGCAAGAGTCCCATGCATATCTGCACTCGGCGTTTCTGCCCATCGGAAACCTTATGCATACGCCAATGAAGATTGATGTCAAGAAGATCAATCAATTTCTCTCTTCTCACGGGATCTACCCCTTCAACTAATAGGACAAGAAAACGGAACAAATCTACTTGAGTATAAACCCTGAAAAAAGGGGTAAACACACACCAAATTTAAGAAAAATACTGCAAGGACAGAGAAATGTCACCTCCAAATATCATAAGTTCAGCTGAAAAGTCCCCCTGGAGAGGAACTTCACCCTAAAATGTAGCGGAATCAGGAAATTAATTACTCTCATTTGGGTGATCCGGTTAAGCAATCCTAGACTAGTTGCTCTCTAGGCAATCAAATTGTTGAAAGATCTCACACAAAGCATGATAAATGAAAGTAGAAAGAAGAGTAGGGACTAGGGACTATACTCACAGCAGAACCAACGGTTTTACTCCATGATCCTCCAAGATAAGACAAGTCACCACTGCAAACAAGCTGAGTATCGTGGAAAGCAGAGCGGCTCAGCACTTGCACAACGTTTTTCCCTCCCACTAAATGCTTTCCAGCCAGAATTTTCAGTAAGGTTGTTTTGCCTGAAATAATAAGTTTCAATAAGGAACACAAGCCTTACTCTACTAGAAGAATCAAATCAATGTATTCACCTTAACTTAAACGGCTATGGATGGTAAATGCTTTAAGCTAATCACAGTATGAGTAAAATCAGAAGAAGAAAGTCTTCAACTTTCGATCCTCGCAGAAATAAATAAGAAGTCGAATTGCTAATCCAAAACCTAAATCGAGCTATATATTCAAAGATCCCAAGACAGCAAACCACAAGCGAAATGGATATACCGTACCAGACCCATTGGCGCCAACCAGAAGGCATCGAGATCCAGATGGAAGATCGAGGTTGAAGTCGAAGAATATAGGATCCTCAGCTTCATAAGCGAACTCCATACCGCTAACTCTAATGGCGTCATCACTGGTCGTCGTCGGATCTTTCGCCGCCATTTGTTTTTCCGTCTCAGAGAAGCTCAAACGGTCAAGATTGGGTAGGTGGACGGACACTTGTTCCCTTTAAATATGTTTCGTCCAACGTTAGACCGTTAGATTCTCGCCACGTGGCCTATTTCTTAACACGCCGCCACGTCAGTGTACGGTCATCCACTCATCGTCAACCGATACGACAGTGTATCGTGTGGGACCAAAAAAGTTTATCATATGGTTTTCAATAGATTTACAGGAGGACATGAACAAAACGTAGAAGCAACTTGAGAGTTTTCAGATATTAATATCGAAATTTACGAAAAAAACGTCTCTTAATATATTAAGGTCTCAAGATACAGATGATAATGATCGGGGATAATTGATAATGTAACAAAGATGATGTAAAGAAAAAAATATTACAACAGGGAGAGCGTGGGGATCACAAAGAAACACACGTCAATTTACCAGAAGCATACATCAGAAACAAGTGTTGGCTGTTCACCATTGGTGTCTAGTGTCTCTGCCTCTAATGTCTCTTGCTCTCAAGTCTCAAGTCACAAGAAGATGAAGCCGGACGGCGGACGGGTCCAAGACCTTATATTTTCACACTCGGTATCAGAAAGCTGCCCAACCTGACGCAGCTCCTGTTGACTTGGCCGATCCTGATCCCGTTGTTGAAGGGAGATTCTTCTGCAGAGTACACACAACAAAATGGAGAATCAAGTACGTCTTAACTCTTTAAGAGAAGAATCTAAGAAAAGAACAGGTATAATGTCGTTGATTCAAAATGCAAGTAAGACGACAAGGTTTGTTTACCTTGAGCTGAGTTAAATCAGATAGAGGATCGTTCCTGCGTCTTGTGTCATCGGTTGATTCCTTGTAACCATCAGATGCAATCCTTGAAGTGGCGGGATCATTTGGAGGAGGCGGTAAAGGAGACCTGGTTTTTACAGCAGCACTTGGTGGTGGAGCAAGTGCTAAAGGTTTAGGCTTCCCATTTCCTGAAAGAGCAGCCGAGAGCATCCCGGTGCCATTTGTTGCTGGTTTCGGCTTCACGTTGATTCTTATGGTTTCACCTTCCTTGAAAGCCATCAAAAAAAGAATAATTTACTCAAAACAACAGTCTTTTTAGATTCTACTGAGTAATCCAAATGGTAAGATGGAGCTTGAATCCACAGTAACGATTCAAGATCAGATAAACTTTTATGAGCACGAACTCAGCAAACTCAATACACCACTAGCAATATTACTAATGGGAAACGGATGCTAAAACAAACTTGTGATTCTTCTGAACTATTTATGAAGCCTAAATGAACAAACAGAGAAATATAGCATCATTAATCTGAATCAACAGCTTATAATCTGAGAGCGAGTGATATTAAATTTTGTGAGCAAGAATTCAGTTACGTCAACACCATTCCTTTTTGAATCAAAGACTGTAGGCTACAAATCCGATAGTTCACAGTATAAGTTTTACCAATAATATAAAACTGAGAGAATCTCTCACTGATATATCGATTAAAGAGATCAAAGATCATGAAACAAACTCTAGATGGAGAAGAATTGAGTCTGGTGATGTTTACTCATCCTCATAAGGCTAAACTATACGTCAATCTCAGTCAACTCATTGCAGATGTATTCGAGAAAGCAATTTTTAACAATAACCAACAAACAAGAGAGATCTTTGCAATGCGATCAGATTACGCACTGATCTTATCTTAAATTCTGAAGGCTTATAAACAGATTGATCTGCTTACCTTCAATCTGTGATTGACGGCGGGATGGATATCGATATGATTGTCGCTCTCACTCGTTTCCCCAGTCTCCTTCTCTTTCTCCCTCCTCACGTACTTGTCGTGATCCGACAAGGCGACATTGAAATCAAACGCCTCGTTCCTCTCAGCGAATCCTAGCCCGATAAACGCATACTTCCCACGCCCGTCGTCGATCCTCAGAACGAAGTACCTAGACGAATCGAGAGACGGCTCGACGGAGTTCTCTCTCCGGCCGGGATCCACGAAACAAGCTGCAAACAGATCGCCGGAGTTCGAATCCTCGAGCCGGATCTCGCATCGATCCTTGCAGGATACAACGCGGAGTCGCCCAGACCAGATCTTATCGGACTGAAGCCATTCACCGCACTTGTATCCCCCGGATGTGGTTCGCGGCGGGATCTTGTAGACGTTGACCTCACGCACCACGAGAAGTGTGTGCTCGAATGTCTCTTCCTCTTCTTCCTCCTCGAACGACATCGAGTTTTCGGAGAGAATCTGTGGACCTCAGACGAGTTTCGGAGAAAGACGTGTGTGAAGCTTTGACGATCGTTGCTGACTTCGGAAGCTTTACAAGACCGGAACCTTATTTTAATTAATTGATTTATCTTTAAAATCCGGACCAAAGTGTCGTAAAATAAAATGTAAGCAAATTCATAATACGGTACCGTCTGATGGTACACCGCCTTTATTTTAAGGCCCAAAGTAACAATAAAGGGCTCTTCCTGATTTCTCTACTCTTCGAGATTTTCCTTATCAATTTTCTTTCGTCGTTTTTTTTTACGTTCTCTTGTTGCCTGAGAGGAGTCGAACCTTTACAATTCCTTAGCCATGGCGACGGCTTCAGGTACCGATTTCATTCAGTTCTTTCTTCTACGGTTCCGGTAGATCTACTTGAAGCTGGGTCCTCGAATTCGTTGTTAATTTTCCTTAGGTGGTCATGAATCTCGGTTCTGATTATCTACTTTCGTATTCCGTAATCTGGAAATTAGGGGTTTTGCTGCTTTGTTGATTTCGTATCGGTATTTGTTTTTGTTAGATCCATTTTGTGATGCTTAAAATACTCTGATTTTGGAGGCTGTTCTTTTATTTAATTTGGTGCTTTTGTTTGCCATGTCCTCGTTTTTCCTCGCTACTTACTTTTCTCTTGGTTGTGGAATGTGGAGGAATTGAATTTAGCCAATTGAGAATTGTTAGAAGATAATTGGACTTGTTAAAATCACTACGTACTGTTTATCTTCGATTGCGTTTCTTAGAGTTTTCGTAAGATAAAGTCGATACGTTATCTGATTTAGTGTTTCTTATAGCTCTGCTGTTTTTGATTTAGGCTAATTTCTGTGAAATTTTGAATGTTTTCTGACATGTTCGTGGGGGATTTTGCAGTTGCTTTTAAGTCTAGGGAAGACCACAGGAAGCAGATCGAGTTAGAGGAGGCTCGTAAAGCCGGACTTGCACCAGCTGAGGTTGATGAAGATGGAAAGGAAATCAATCCTCACATACCGCAGTATATGTCCTCTGCTCCATGGTATCTCAACTCTGAAAAACCGGTAAGCTGAATCATTCTGTGGTTTACTTGCATATTTGCATTGTCTTTGCTTTGAACATCCACACTGACTACTCTGGTTTCATTGGTTTGTTTTGACAGAGTTTGAAGCATCAAAGGAAATGGAAGAGTGATCCCAATTACACCAAGTCATGGTATGACAGAGGTGCTAAGACCTTTCAAGCCGAAAAATTCAGAAAGGGATCATGTCAGAAGTATGTAACTTCCCCTTTTTCCCCTTCTGTTTCTTTGACGTCAGTTTTTAGTTTTATTGTTCAATCCATTGAATGTTTACTCCTTAGCTGAACATGTGATTTCTCTGATTTTGAAATCTTGGCTATATTGATAAATGAAAAATACGCTTCGTTTTGTAATTTGTTCCATTGTCTTACTTGGCCCCTCTTATTTTTGAAGCTGTGGTGCAATGACGCATGCTGCAAAAGCATGCATGGATAGACCTCGTAAGGTTGGAGCGAAATACACAAACATGAACATTGCGCCTGATGAGAAAATCGAGAGTTTCGAACTCGACTATGATGGCAAGAGGGACCGATGGAATGGTTATGATCCTTCAACCTACCACCGTGTGATAGAGCTTTATGAAGCAAAAGAGGATGCACGAAAGAAGTTCTTAAAGGAGCAGCAGATTAAGAAACTAGAGGAGAAGAACAATAACCAAGAAGGTGCTGATGCAACCAGTGATGGGGACGAAGAAGATGACGACTTAAGGGTCGATGAAGCCAAGGTTGATGAGAGCAGGCAGATGGACTTTGCAAAGGTTGAAAAGCGTGTTCGAACAACTGGTGGTGGTAGCACAGGAACTGTTAGGTATGGTCTAAGTCCTTTGTTTCTGCAACTACAATGTATCATCTCTCGTAACACGCTTGTTTAATTGGTTTGATGCTTTCATATGATGCACTAATGGAGTAACGTTTTCTTGATTTCAGGAATCTGCGAATTAGGGAAGATACAGCAAAATACCTCTTGAACCTTGATGTCAACTCAGCTCATTATGACCCCAAAACTCGATCCATGCGTGAAGACCCGCTTCCAGATGCAGATCCCAATGATAAATTTTATTTGGTTAGTTGTGATTCATCATTATCAATTTAGTTGTATCTTATATTTTGATAATATATATACATACTAACCTCTGTTTGCTTATCATCTATCCAGGGAGATAATCAATATAGAAACAGTGGCCAAGCTCTAGAGTTCAAACAGTTGAACATCCACTCATGGGAAGCATTTGACAAGGGACAGGACATGCATATGCAAGCAGCTCCATCCCAGGCTGAGTTGCTCTATAAGAACTTCAAGGTTGCAAAGGACAAACTGAAATCTCATACAAAGGACACGATCATGGAGAAGTATGGGAATGCAGCTACAGAAGATGAGATTCCAATGGAGCTTTTGCTTGGGCAAAGTGAAAGACAAGTCGAGTATGACCGTGCTGGGAGGATTATAAAGGGACAGGTATTACTTTCTGATAGTTTCTTTCTCGAGTCAATACAATAATTGTTGAGTTTTCTGCTTTTCGTTTGATTCTATGTCGATCTTAATCCATGTTTGCCATGTGCAGGAGGTGATCTTGCCAAAGAGCAAATACGAAGAAGATGTCCACGTGAACAATCATACTAGTGTATGGGGTTCATGGTGGAAGGACCACCAATGGGGATATAAATGTTGCCAGCAGACCATTCGCAACAGTTACTGCACAGGTTCTGCTGGAATAGAAGCTGCAGAGGCTGCCCTTGATCTGATGAAGGCGAATATCGCTCGCAAAGAAGCCACTGAAGGTTTGTGCAGATGTTGACTCTTGTTATTACGTTGATTAAATTACTCCTGTCGAATGGCTGATGACACCCATTTCTGCATATGTCCTATGCTGATGTTCTTACGCATGTGGTAACGAAACAATGGCTGTTTTTTTTTTTGTGAACAGAGAGCCCAAAGCAAGTTGAAGAGAAGAGAATGGCCTCATGGGGAACCGATGTTCCTGAAGATCTGGAACTGAACGAGGAGGCACTTGCTAATGCTCTTAAAAAGGTTAGTTAGTTTACTTCTGTCAAGACGTTTCCATGCCTTTGCAGATTTATCTGACGAACGTGCGTGTATTCTTTTTGGTGCGCAGGAGGATGAGCGTAAGAAGGAAGAAAAAGATGAGAGGAAACGTAAATACAATGTCAAATACACCAATGATGTAATGATCGTTAGCCTTTCTTTTATACGCATCGAATTATAGTCTTGATTTAACGGAGATTAATCAAAATCTCACATTTCATTTGCAGGTGACTCCGGAAGAAATGGAAGCTTACAGAATGAAGAGAGTTCACCACGAGGATCCAATGAGAGATTTCGTCTGAGAACAACAAAAGTTCAGTTTCTTTCTTTCCCTTTCGCTATGTAACCTGAAGAAATCCTTATTACGTTTTATGTTACTGTATAACGTTGTCTTGGAGTTCTCCGTTTACTCGCAACACTTGGTAGAAATGAACTTAAAACTTTTGTTATGATTGAAGCTTTTGTACTAGTCACACTCACATCCTTATTTATTTCACTAAAACTGGAAAATCTGAAAACATGGTTAAAGGCAAAGGCGAAAGCGAATGCTTAAGAAGAGGAGCTTAGTGACATAGCCAACATAGTCTCTTGCTGACTGAACTTGATCCTCTTTGCTTCTTCCTCGGTAACTCCATAGGACGCTTTGATCACATCCAAGGGAACCGCTCTCAAGAAGGATGTCTCGCCACTGATTGAGTTAATGTAAGAGTTGTCGTTTGTCTTGAACGATATCCACTCAAAACCCGTTTCACCCGCGATTTTCACAACAGCAAATCCCTGAGGAACCAATAGGAGCTGACCTTGTCCCACTTGTTCATCGAACACGGACATGCCGTTGTCGTCCACCACTTGTATCCTCGCCTGACCGCCAGTCGAGTATAACAGCGTGTGCGCGGTTGCTGTCCATTGCGGCAACACCATCCCTCCCTAACTCAACAATAAACATTACATATAGCACAAAATTATGATTTAACAAGATGTTAAACAAAGTAAAATGAGTGTCACACTTACGCTATAGAGTACGCCTCTAACAGCGTTAAGTCTGACTAGACGTAGAACGGGGAGATTGAAGCTGTTAAGAGTGCTGATTCTTCCGGCTCGTGTGCTAAAGAAGTCGCTACGTTCTGGATCGTCAATATTCTCGTGAAGCCTCGCCGAGCAATACGTCTCTTCGATGCCATTAACAGTGCCATCCTGCTGCCATTGCCGTGGCGAGGGGATCGCAAAATGGAGGGGACCGTTTGCTCGGACTATGTTTCCTCTGTTGTCGTTCTGGTTCTGCAGTTGCTTAGCTGTCTCGATGTCGATTTTGAATGCTTCCGCGATTATGTTTGGGTCGAAACCACTGAAAGCGTTTTTGCCTGATGGCCAAGTTAATGGTTGTTGTTCTTCTTGCGTCCTGCTGCCGGCTATTTGAAACATCTACATATGAATGGTTCACAAATAAATTGTATAAATGTATTATTATTGTAGTAAACATATCGATTGCATGCAAATATGCAATATACATTTGGACTTTCTTGAATTTGATAATTACCCTAGGGTTTTGATCAAGCTGGTTTTCTCTGTTGGTGACATCAAGAACCATCACGATGACGACATCAGAATTGCCACGGTTGTACCACCACTGTGAAACTCCGGCAAGTGAAGCAAACACATCTCCTTGCCGGAAATTCTCCAACTTCTGGTGCATGTCCTCAAAACCTCCACGCTGCTCTCCTCTTCCTCCTCCAACTTCTTGATAAGTCTCAGGACAACCAGGAGCAATTGTTCCCATCACTCCTTCTCCTACAAACAATCAAAATAAAAGAAAACAATATATTTAAGTTTTCTATTGAAAGGTTATATTTCTTTATTTTTTTAAGGGAAAAAA